AGATAAAGTAGAAACTGCTGTGACTCTGGATCTCATGCTTATCTGCAAATTAACCTCTCAATCTTTATCTCCTTCCTGTTCTATCTTCGTTCCTTCAATGTATATCTCTGAGCGAAAACTAATGCGTGCAGAAAGCAAGCAGTAAGACTTGTCGAGTGTTAACATGGATAGTCTAATATTATGTACTTCTAAGCAGTTTTATACAACTAAATATTTTTTATTGAATAGTTTAGAAAGAAAGAATTGTGCATTATTGGTTGGAAAGAATTTTAATAAAATCTTAAATGCAAACTCAGATTATGAACACCACTTTGTAAAAAATAAAATTATTTCTTGATAATTTAACTCGTCATGTTAGAATTACCATTTTAATTTATTCACAGATCTATTAATCATTATTATATTCAATTTATATGTTTATTATTAGATTAAATTACTTTTGTCATCTTGTAATCTTAGACGTTTGTCATAATGTGATTTGTATTAAATAATAATCCATATCTCATATTATTTTTGAGAGAGAGAAGCAATCTAATATATTTATTAATTATACACGTATTATTAAACTCAAAAGTTTTCTGTTTTATATGTATAAAATTATATATTAAATATATAAATTTTTTACTATGTATAAAGTATAATTTACATGCAATATATATGTGTAACATGTTATGTATTGCTATAGGTAAAAATGGCTGAAGAACAGTGGGGAGTTGTTGATGATATGGACTTTACTCAGGCGCCAGTAAATACGTCTTCCGTAAGAAAATTTTTTACACAATGTGGAATTATATATAAAAAATAAATAATAACGATAAAATAGTCATTAATATTGACATTATATTTTTATAGTTTGACGAAGGACGCGCGCCTTGCCGCGGTAAAGGACGTGGCACAATCCCATACAACAACAACGATACAAATGGCAGTGTGGGAGGTTACAATAGCTCCTATAACAGCAAACGAACAGACGACTACGAGGGCAGCTACGATAATAATACCCACAACGAAGATCGTGAAAATAATAGATTTAACGGCGATAATAGATTTAAAGGAAACAGACAAGGCAATGATAGACCGCGTTATGGAAATAACAGAGGTGATAATGATCGAAAGTTCCAAGGCAATAGGGATAGGAACAATAGTAGGCGAAACAGGGATGATAATGACGACGAAACTGAAGATAATGGCTATAACGGAGGTTATCAGAACGATAGAAGGGATCGTGGAGACCGACCTAGAGGTGGAAGAAGCGGCGGTTACGGTAGAGAGAGGGATGATGATAATGATGGTGGCTACAATGATTCTGAAGACAGAGGACGCAGAAGAGATGATAATAGAGGTGGCAGAAGCGGCGGTTACGGTAGAAAGAGGGATGATGATAATGATGGTGGCTACAATGATTCTGAAGATAGAGGACGCAGAAGAAACGATGGTGAGTCTAGAGAAGGCAACGAAGATGAGCCAAAGAAGAGAGAGATTTATATTCCGCCGGAACAACCTGATGATGAAAAATCCTTGTTTGGAAACGATGTGTCAATGGGAATAAATTTCGATAAATACGATGCCATCGAAGTAAAAGTGACCGGTGAGAATGCACCACGTCCGATACAATCCTTCGAGAGTTCCGGCCTCAGAACTATCCTGTTGGAAAACATCAAGAAGTCAGGTTATACGAAGCCTACCCCTGTTCAAAAGTATGCCATTCCAATTGTAATGAGCGGCCGCGACTTGATGGCTTGCGCGCAAACAGGTTCGGGCAAAACTGCGGCCTTCGTGGTTCCTATCATACATACTTTGTTGGAAAGCCCAAGAGACTTAATTAAAACGACCACTTCCTGCGAACCACATGTAATAATTGTATCGCCCACGCGCGAACTGACTATGCAAATTCATCAACAAGTGAAGAAATTTTCTTTGGGCTCTATCCTGCGTGCCGAACTTGCATACGGAGGAACATCCGTTATCCATCAATCGAATAAGGTGCTCAACGGTTGTCATATTCTAGTCGCAACTCCAGGCAGACTGATAGATTTTATGGGACGAGGCAAGATTAGACTCTCTTCCTTACGTTTTCTTGTGCTGGATGAAGCTGATAGGATGCTGGATATGGGTTTCCTACCTGATATCGAAAAGATTATAGATCACGAAACAATGGTAGCGCCAGAAGAAAGACAGACGCTCATGTTCTCTGCCACTTTCCCGAATGAGATACAAGAACTCGCGGGTAGATTTTTACGGAATTATTTATTCCTCGCAGTTGGAATTGTGGGCGGTGCCTGTGCTGACGTGCAACAGAACTTCTACCAATCATCTGGTCAGTCTGAAAAGCGAAAATTGCTGAAAGAACTGATAGAGAAGCAAGATCAAATGGGAAGTATCGAAGGTACCTTAGTATTCGTTGAACAGAAAAGACACACGGACTTCATCGCCGCTTTCTTGTCGGAAAGCAATTTTCCTACAACTAGTATACATGGCGATAGATTACAAAGAGAACGAGAAGAAGCTCTAAGTGAGTTCAAACGAGGAAAAATGAAGATCTTAGTGGCTACGGCGGTTGCTGCGCGAGGCTTGGATATTAAAAATGTCTCGCATGTAATTAACTTCGATATGCCAAAGGCGATCGACGAATATGTTCATAGAATCGGACGAACTGGTCGAGTTGGAAATCGCGGCAAGGCCACTTCATTTTTTGATTCAAGTACTGATATGGGTCTTACTGATGATCTGGTCAAAATTTTGAAACAGGCTGGTCAGCCGGTACCTGATTGGTTAGAATCCGGTGGCGGTGGCGGTGGCGGAGGCAGAACTTTCATGCCAGGAAAGGGCAGAAGATTCGGCGGGCAAGATATCAGAGGCGTAAGTAACACTATAATCTAAATTTTTTATCGAATATTAATAACATAATTAAGGAAAACGCCGTTAAACAATTCATTTCTATCATGTTTGTAGTATATTACTGTTGAAAAGTAAAAATTTGTATTATGAATCGCAGATAATTTTTTGTGTCAAATCCGAGTTTTTAATAAGCATAAATAACTGAATCATAGTATAAATGGTTGTAGATAAATATGAATAATTCTTCTGTGCAGGACAAGGATGCATACGGTGATATATATGAAGATGTTGGCTATGCACCTGAACAACCAGCTGAACCAGAAGAAGTATGGTAGATTTAGATGCTTCGTATTCTATACGATGTATAAAATACTGCTTTATTTCTTTAATTTTAAAAAAATATGATAGGTTCTACAGATACATGTAAGACAAAAGTGTATGGACAGTGTTGACAATCGATTTTTGTTTCCTTTTCTCTTTAATTGTTTACTATGTGATATACTTTTATTACTGAAGTTACATACGGTAAGAAAGAATGTGGTGTACATGGCTTTACATTACTACCTCGAATTCTCAGGCATAGAGTTGATAATGTCTGAAGTTAGTTCCAGTAATTTTAAATTACACAAACGTTTTTAGATTACGTACACATACATACACTTACATTACTTATATTTTTTTGTGTATAGCATAGCGTATTAAAAAACATTAATTTTGGATAGTGATTTAATAATTGTGATTTTCTTTTTTTTTTCTTTAATTAAGATATATCCATCTTAACATGATGTGACATTGATTACCTCCAATAAGAAATTCTTTGATAGTAGCATCGAATTTCAAGACAGATGATCATGTAGGATATAAATATAAAATATTCCTCATATAAAATATGCAAAATGTAATGAGTAATTAACGATTTTTTTCCGTTGTCTTCACATACTATCCCTTATATAATATATGTAATTTGTGATCAGTAATTCATTATTTTTTCCATTATCTTCACATACATGTCACTTTTACGTTAATCTCTTACGTTAATTTAAAAAATCTTTAAAAGAAATTTTGGGGTACTTTGTCTATATAAAGATTTTTAATGTATGTATTTTTTATTTAGAAAATACATGCATTTAAAATTAGTATAGTATAATTAACGAAGTATATTCTAGTATGAAGTGTATATATATATTTTATGTCCCACACGATCATCGAAAAGTTGAATGAGTCATTTTGTGATTATAGTTTATTTCACGAAATACTGCGATTATATTTCGTTCCTTGATATGTTACATTTTTACATGTTATAATAAAATATATATATATAACATAATAAAGTTTCATACTTTTATAATAAAATTTTTAGTTGTGATACTTTTCTAATTAAATTCCAATAATAAATTGCTTTAACAGATTTCAACATATTAAGATGAGTTAGTGCATTATACAAATCTATTTTATGATTATTAATTAGCATGATTTAATGTATATAAGAAGGAAGAAGAGAGAGAAGTAAAGTAGAGAATTTCAATGAAAGTCCACGTTAGACAAAAACTATAAACTTTTTCATCCTGGATTTAGCCTATAATTTATTAATTTCTATTACACAGATTTAGCAAATTATATTCCATATCCAGCCAATAAAAAAACACTTCCGACATGCATAAAAGATGTTTAAGAAGCCTTTTATTTAAAAAATGCTTGATTTTTCGATTTTATATTTTCTACAGTTTATTGTAAATAAAAATTATTAAAGTATATTGCCAAAAGATTTCTTGAGAATTTTTAACACTGGCATCTCTGTATTACTTACTTTTTTTTAATGTCTACGTGTTCTTTAAATATTCTTTAAATTTCGTACATTAATAAAGCGGTAGAATTTTTATATTAGGAGAAGAATGTACACTAATGTAATAACAATGACATAAGCAGTGGGTAATACTTACCGTCGCTCATGGCCATGTCCATTAAGTGCAAATCCTCGTCATTGAGTAGGGACGAAAGAAATCCGTCAGTGGTTTGGTTTATGGAATCTGTCGCCGGTGCGTGATAATACATCATATCGTTAGGTTCAGACTTGTAACTCGCGCCGCTCTCTGCACCCATTGGCTCGCTACTGTTTGTCAAATTCATCGATGTTGCCACAGCTGAACCCAAATTCGACGACCCACCTGTAACAGTGAGCAGCTTAGTTCAGACAATGAAATTTTCTTAGATGATATTTTTATAGTTACTGCATTCCCTCATCGTTTTCGTGCAAAAATTGATGACGTCGGCTAGAGTTTGCACGAGAGTGAATGAGTGCGTGAATGAGAGACAAGCCATTGTGAATTTATGCTCTGGAGATTATACAACTTACGTATTAGGCTTGCCGCGAGAGTACAGAAAATATTTTGGCTAAAGATTGGAGATTTCGTACACCTCTGATGCACACATCGCGTGTTAGCTTCATTTATCTCAACAGTATAATTCACATTGCGAAATTTCGTTGCATCAGAGAGAAAGAGATAATAATACGTGTTAATATAAAAAGTAAGAACAAAGAGCTTCCGTAGGCAGCTTTAGGCAATACTCACCCACATTATGGTAGGGTCCTGTTGAATTGAGATCCCCGACCGGAGGCGCTAAGGTAGGATTATGGAGCAATACATTACGTTGCGCCTCGTAATGACTGTGACTTATACCGTGTCCTGGATATCCAGGATGCGCTGGATGTGCGAAGTGATCCGGTCCTCCCGGGAGGGATAAGAGAGATGCGAGATCCTGCCACCGCTGTTCCATGCTCATCGCTCGCACAAACGGCATGCGACCCTGAAACGAATAAATTCGGTTTTTCTAAAATCACAATCTCTCTCTATAAGAAAAATTAATTATTTTAATGCATCTCACGATAAGTAATTAATCATTAATTATTTCATCATTTAAAATCTCTCGGAATATGTATTTCGCGCTCATTTATGCATTGCAAATATAAAATAACCAATCGAGATGAAACATCGTTATTTTTAACGAATTATTAAAACTTAATAATTTTGAAGCAACTCATAAATATGTATGACTAATGTCCCGATTTCGTTGAATGACAATTTTTGTTTACATTTGAAACCAAATCCACGAAATTCCACGCGGTCGTCGACCACCGCAGCAATTATCTTATCTGTGGTACATCCTATTATCATAGAATCGAACATCCATCGATCGAATGTCACGCGAGAGAAATCCTGTAGCCGTCGTGCCTGTCAAATGTCAACCAGGTAGACACCTGGATTCCAAGGAGACAGGAACCCCGCTGATCGCGTAGGTGTTGGCTGCACGTAAGATCGGTAAAGGATATTAATAACAGCGGTACTACGTGTCAAAAGTATCCTTTTCCCCTTGTAAGGGCATGCGTCAATCGTGATCGCGTGTCAATCAAATGCGGAAATTATGACGGGCGAAATTTATGGATTGAAAAACGCAGCACGTTTACAAGTATAGCTACCAAGTAAGTATAAGTTATGTGCCGCGGATGAGGTTTAATTCGTTTGGAAATACGATAAATGCATTTGCTCAGAAAACGTAGTTACAGTATTTTTCATCTGGTGTACCGTCGATATTCTTCGATAATACGTAAAGTCGTATATCATAGGCGCCCGAGATGTACCAATTAGCACATTTAAACATCGTCAATTATAGGTATAAAATAATAAGCATCTTGTTAGCATATTTTTTGTACGTCCGTAAGGAGCGTGGCGTAATAACAGGAAACACGGAATTATCTTCGATTCTTCTCGCGAGAAACGCGCGCGTTTTACGCTTTCGAGGAAAAACATCTGCGAATTTTATACGGTTTCAAGAGTAAAAATCTCTCTCTTTCTCCGCCTGGCGACATGCGCGCGAAGAGAATCACGATTTGTCCGCTAATTGTGAGAGGACAGTCGTTCGCTCGTGTACTTTCACGAAATTTCTTCCTGTCCCGCCGTCTCTCAGCGAGTTGCGATGAGAGGAAGGGGTGATGCATCCTGCATCGCGCGTAAGCGTAAGCGCGGTAGTGCTGTTGGGGCACACACCGTACGTACCCACACCGGCGCCTTAATGCACATAGGTATTGTCGCTAATGCGCCTGGGCCGCAAGAAGAAGATGAATAGGGAAGCGCTGCCGCGCGCGGCTGGCTGTGCGCGCCGGGCCTGCTTGGATTGTTGTTCGCGGGCGCATCAATCAGTCGCCGGTGCAATCTGTCGAGCGCGACGCCTTTAAGGCGATTCTCGCTTGTCAGCGCATCTGCCGGCTGTGTGTAGGCCGCGCGGCAGCGCAGCGGCGAAATGTAGGACGGGGGACTTTTGTTCCACCGGCGATTTGTCGTGCAAGCGCGGCACGACGCGCTGTGCACGTTTCTAATGGCCGGACTTTACGGCTCATCCTGGTTCGACGTAACGGCCGTGATTGAGTTATAGGAAAAAAGCGTGCGCCACGTTTAAGCCTCTCCTCTTTCTCTTACTCTCTCGCTCTCTCTCTATCTCTCTTTTCTGCCGTGGAGACGGCGGCGATTACCTGTCCGCGACGCGGCGAAGTGCGACAGCTTTTCGCCGCGCCGGAACGCGACTTCCAGTTTTCAATCATCGTCGGGAATACTCGAGATTCGTTATAGCTCGCGCCGGATTAATCCGTGACGGGAACCATTAACGGACACCTTCCGCGCGCGTTGCGCGAGGAACCGGAGTCCTCGAACACGGTGGATTAATTTTGAGTACGTAAAGAGGCGATTGTGCGGACTTTTTTAATCGGTGATCTTATTCAATCCTTTATCTACAATGCAAATGTAGCAGGTCGCTCAACTTGTTCGGTAAACTATAGAAGAATGGAGGAAGTTATAAGGACGCGGATCCCGCGATGTTGCGTACGAAGACCGTCCCGGCTGCTAATCTCGCGATTAGATGCACGAAGCGTGATTTATCGGACAGCCGTTGGGGCTGCCCGACATAGCGTTGCTCATCCTGACGAATCCACAGTCTCAAATTGGTTTGGTATCTATACGAGTGCGGTAAACGAACGTTACGTTACGCATTCCTCCTCAGCTACTGGCGCTTATGATTTATGTACCACACACAGAATGTACGGCCTCACATACGGCGCACGTACGTGCGCGTATCTCACGTGTGTGCGTGCACGATCTCGCTTCGCGTGCACGGGAGAGTCGTCGCGGAACGTATGAATCTGCGAGAGACTGCGAGGAAAGATATCTACGGCGGCAGATGTTTGAAACGCGCTGTCGAGGACTCGCTAGATTTCTTCCGAGATCTCTCCCTCTCGCTCTCTCTCTCCCTCCCTCTGTTTCCTTCTCCTTTACCCCTTTTTCCCCCCTGCAGCTATGTGCTCTTTTTCTTCTGGTATTCATTAATATCGTGCAATTCCCGATGCCTTATCAAATCCATCACGAGAGTTCGTGCAGAAACAGATCTGAGATTTGTATGAAATTGATTTTACTCTGGTTCGTTAGAAAACGCATTCATCGCCAGTATTTGCGTTTGTATTATCACTCATCGCGCTACTTTAATCGGATTTCTAATGAAAACAATCTTGAAATGAGTTCTATTAATATAGTAATGAGCCTGATAGTTTTAGCCAATTTATCAATAACTACCAATAAAACAAAGTACGTGGAACGTGCGAATTAACAGGTTTATCGTTTTCTTTTTGTGTGCGCTAAACCTGCTTCATAGAAATATCATGTTGGACGCTCGTTCATTTCTCTCGTTCTGTCTCCTCCCTTTAAAGCGCCATAAAAACGGGATCGGTCTCTCCTTTCAGGATTGTCGTCTGCAATTTCTGTTTTTATTCCACCTATAACGTCGCGGCGTGCACGAGCTGCATGAGCGAAACTATTTCGATCTATTTGACAGTGATCAACTGACCGCTTGACACCTGCCATCCACCGTCGTTTAACCCACCGTCTCTCCACAGTCCTCGATCAGTTACGTCGAGTTACCTACTTTTCACCTCAACACGTCGCGTGTGTTTTCGTACGTGACTGCTGGCAAAGCTCGTTTCTGTCATGAAGGTTGTGAATGAAAATATTGATGGATACGGATTCAGCCCCTCACCCTTTAGCGCGTCGCGGTATGTGGAAAAAAATATATTTGTGTCCGCCTTCCCGATTCGTTCTTCAACGAGCCAGAAATTTTTCCCAAGCCCCTGCGATCATCCGCGCATATTCGTAACGGTAAGACCGTTCGATTCCTCGATCGTATTTCGTTCAAGGGTTGCGTGTGGTTCAATCGATGTAAGACCTTATAATTAGCGAAACTACAAATTGCATCGGAGCGCCGCGTTCAGCGTTCACACATTGCAGGCGTCGATATCCCGCCACATCTGTTGTCTTTGTTGCGTCCGCGCGTGGCCTCAATGACCATACGAAGACAGAAATTCGTTTCACACATCCTAGATAGCCCCGGCCGCGGACGCGGACGCGCATTATGCATTTCACAGCGCATAAGTCCAGCAGCTGCTTGGAATCCTGGCGAACGGAACGGACTGTGACGCCCCGTCGCGTTTCTTGGTTCTTGGTGAAAATTGCCTGGTCGGGGTGCGCGCGTACGTAGGAATTTATGGGCGACAGAAGTGCGCGAAAAACTTAACTTTCTCGCCGAGGCTTCTGATATTACGTGAAATTGACGTGCATCAGGGATTTTATGAACGCGCGTTTTATGTAGCGCAATTTCATATTATCGTGAACGGAGTATCTCTGCAACAGACGAGTTGATTTAATAAATCGACTAAACAATTGTAATTAGGCTCTCAGTACTAAACTTACTCCTTATTTCTACAAGTGTCTAATAAAACTATTAGCAATACAATAAACTCGTTTAAGTTTTCATTTCAATTTGAAAAGATAAATATGAAAAGATATGTCACTAAGTTTGCGTCATCAAACTTGACACTTTGACGAAAGCGATAAAAGTTAAACTGATCTTAAAAAGTAGAAAGATAAATTTCACAAATATTTCTGCATACGAACAGGCAGACGATTTCTACCGCTAACTATATGGCGAATTTGATAAATGCCGGATGTTACATGCACCGTTTTGTTGAGACACACCGGCGCCGGCGGGCAGCCGGAAACGGCGATCTCGTCTTAATGCGTCATCGGCAAAACGCAAGTAATTAAAGATGCGCGAGAAAAACGTGCGCATTACCCGCGGTTGCCGGTGTGCTCTTACGGCTAATGGGCGAAGATATTAATTATGATTCATTCGGATTCATAGTCATCAGATTAATGCACGCCGGCGTGGGTTACCGCGGGCCGGCGGGGTTTGCGCCAGCCTCTCCAACTATTGCCACGAGTGCATCCTAATGTCCGACCGGCGCGGCGCGGCGCATCTCCCACCGCCTTTCTCATTTCCATAGCACACATTTCGCTTCTCTTATTAATTTCGTCTTACGGCCTCTCCGGCTCGCAATCTGCCACTTGTCTCCGTCTCTGTTTCCACCGCGCGCGGATTGCCCTCTCTCACGATCTTCTTTCTCTAGTCCTTTATCACCCGCGCTCGCCTCTTTCCTCGCCACGACCCTCCGTCCCGCCGACTTTCTTCCCTCTCGATTCGTAACTCGGTGTTATACGTAAATATTGTTCGGGGAGTCCAAGGATACGTGGAGGGCCCTCCTCCGGCGCTCGAGGTTCTAAGCAAATATTCAAGTGCCACGGCAAATAGCGCGCTACCGGCGTGCTCACGGCCTAGCAAATCCTTGTGCAAAGATATACAGCGAAGTTCCCGTCAATCACGGCCAAAGGTCATCTGGTAGTTCTCTGCTTCTCCGATTACGAGAGACCGAG